GATATTTTCCATATTCCACAACGCAAGCGTCATAACAGTGTGGTCAATTGAAATTTACGTTACATGCTTCGTCACGTTCAGCACCATTAATGGGTTTCACCACATGCACATTGATGGTGCTGAACGTTGTCTTCGTATTCTAAGCCCATACATCCAATGTGAGCGACCCTGCCAGATATATACAATAACTGACAAGCCAGCGACTGCTGATGATTTGTACACTCTCCCACCGTGTCATACGCTGTAATATGCAAAGATAATCCTGGTTTCCCCATAACTCTAGGTTCGAAGAAACAGTCTGCAGGATTCGCACATGAAGATTCCCAACAATGGAAATAAAGGGGTTCACTTGGTAATAATTATATTAGTTTCTATGGATTATTGTCAATCAATTCTTATAATCAGAACAGTCGACAGAATTTAACATTGTAAAATTGCATCGAACCTTAAATTTGTAATGTAATCTTCGTTTTCAATAGTTGTTGTTTTATGTACTTCTGTTTGACCGACACATTCGCATTTGCAATATTGCGTTCAAGCCATATACCGACATAAACTGTCGGTACGTTGGATGCATGACATACAACGCACATACTTGTTTGCGTTTGTATTCAGTCTTCATACAGAGAACAATACATACATTTGTTTCGAAGGAACACATTATAAAGATAGGAATGTTATGAAAGTTATTTTTGACATCAATTACGTCACAGCAGAATTAGGTAAATAATGTGTCATACAAGCACGTGAGTTTATCATATATAGCATCCGCTACTAAAAAACGTTGAATATATTTTTGATTGAAATGAAAACTACAAAAATGAAAACTTTAAAAGATAGCACACAAAATACAGTGATAAAATGTCTTTTTCTATTGGTTCATGTGTTCCTGTCATGTTCACTGATGTACATGTGCCATCGTCCATCAATACCACCCGCTTGTTCAAGCGTATAGCCTGAAAGATAATAATATGTTTATTTATGTATATATTTATATTTCATATTTATATATTTCACAGTTTTGTTGTGAACGCCTACATACTCGTTTTTATGAAAACACATGCACATCACTGTGTCGCATCGAAACTAGGACGAAAAGTGCATGTTATCCATTTGTTTTAACATTGGCTGAGCAAAGATCACTGATTTATCCAATTTGATCTAGCCGACATGCAAACATATATATTAGATTAGCTAGAACCTTACCTAGTACTTGGTGTTACCTGTATACGAATATTAATATATTGAGTGAGTCTCGTTTATTAATCTAAATTTCACGCAACTTTTTTCATAATTTAATTCACTTCAATGGCCTCTAAAAACGACGGCGTGTTACGCCAATACGCTCACATATATGCTATCTAGCATTTGAGATATAATTGTGTGTGTGTTTGTTTGTTTTTTTGTTTTTTTTTGAAGTAATAATTACAATGCGCGTAGTTAAAATGATTCCTAAATAAACCTAAAACTAAAGATATAATGAGTGAGTGTTACAGAATACACAGTGTGGTAGTGGCACATTCACTGTTCATTATATTGAAACTAGACGATACACTAACAGCGCCACCCGCTATCAAGTTTTTCCTCAAACTTCTGTAACTGTTTCTATGTATTGGATGGAATGTTCACTAATATAATAGATAATTAAACAATTCATGTACATGTAATTCTCTATTGACGTGCTGTATCTTAGTTAACTACACGACGAACCGATGGCAAATGAAAATAACTATATATATGCACGTATTTAGATACAAAGCAAGTAACAATATTAACAATCTACGAGAACGCTTATAATATATTTCATACGCCCTTGTGAGATCGTGCACAGTTTCTATACGTAATCCTAACTTACTGAACGGCTATTATTAACAACACTCCTATAAAAGGGATTTGGAGAAACACGCCCTTGGCATAAGATTAACATTGAGTTGAATACAATACCGCTGTATCTGTTTCACTGTACCATGGAGAGTTAAAATGGAAGCGTATATGTCTAAAACACTGCTGTATAGTGACATAGTGTTTTCTGAATCACAAACATATTGATATTCACGCCGAATGGTGTGTTAGTATTTCAGTCTGATATATAAATATGAACGAAGTGTACGCATATACAACGAACTCATTTGAAATCAAAATTTCAACAGTTCCTGGACCCATTTACAAATTTCAATAGTTCCCGGACCCATTTACAAATTTCAACAGCTTCTGGACCCATTTACAAATTTCAACAGTTCCCGGACCCATTACAAATCT